GGTTGCAACTGAGGTTAGCGGAAAGAACAGATTCCGTTAACCAGAGCCACCAGCAAACGGGTTGAAAACATTTCTTGGACACATCCTACGAAAGTCCGTAAGCAAAAGCGTGCGAAACCAGGTCGCATCTGCAGACGGTAGTCGTTGGAAAGGGTGAGAAATCAAAAACCGTAGAGTTCACAGAAGGTGAAGCCGTAGAGCGTTTTGTTTTTCTCTCTCGTTCTCTTTCTCTTACTCCCTCCGGCTCTGAGCGAGAACTTCCTAGTGTGAGTAGTAGCCATCACTAACCTAGATACCGAAAAGTAAAACATACGTATAATGGCTAGATAGTTTTCTCGACCCCGCACGACGACTCGATCGGTCCGAACATCGACGAGTCGCTATGGACCATCACCTGCGAGGATAGATTGGTTTAGTTGTGTCAAAAGACAGCCTCATTCAAAAGTATCACCCATAACAAGTATGCTCCGGAGCAAGAGGCACGTTTGTAGGTAGGGTTGGATCGTTTCACCCGAAACCACAATCTACCGAATCTGCGTTTGCCCGGCTCGCTTAGTACAGACTGGAGTGGAGAGAACGGACTGCTAGAGAGACGGGAGAGAACTGACTGCGAGCGACTCACCGTGGCTCGCTTAAGAGAGACTGAACTGCACTGACTGCATGGCTCGCTTAAGAGAGACAGGAGAGAACTGACAGCGCTGGTTTTGTGTCAAAAGTCTGTGACCCCGTACCCGACACCCCAACCGTGTGCCAGGTGCTGGACGACGAACGCCGTCGCTCTTTCGCAGCATGGAGGACAGGCCGGCGAGTTGAGCATGTTTGAAGGGAGGGCAGCCTGGCGAGTTTATTGCGTCTGCGGGTCACCTGACATGATTGTCGCCCGCACGCCTGACACGTTTGCGGCGTGCCTGGCTTGTGACTGCAACCCTGCCATGTTTGGACTGTACCAGAATTCCCGCGAAAGAGTTCGCCCCGCAGAGAGCAGCTTTTGTTGCTCGTGGTAAGTGTAGTATGAGAGTTTGGCTGGAGAGGCGACGCAGAGCATCGCTCGGCGTCGAGACTGATGCGTTGGGGAAGAGGCTTGATACGCCTGAGCGTAAGATCTAAGCCCAGCGGCAGCTGCGAAGCCGGACGCTTGCAGCGCCGCTCCAGAGAAGGTGGCGACGACATGTTTATAGGACAAGCACAGTGAAGGAGAACAATTGACTGAAACTGAAACCAGGCAGTTAAGTAAACCAAAGAAAAACACAGGGAGCGAAGGTGAGAAGCAAAACGTGAGGGGTGAGCATAAACACCGTCGAACCTGCAAGTGCAGGTGTGCACTGTCGCATCGTTGTTCGTTGTCGCTGCACTGTTTCAGTCCAAACCAAGAAGCTAGGTGCAACAACAGCAACATAAGTCGGTGTCGAAGCGGGAACGTATATGTAGGCCACAACAACAGCCATTCACACGGAGGACACGCATAGGTTTTTCCATCCCACAGAAGGTAAGTCCACGACAAGTAACCGAGCTCGCAATCACGGTTGCTGAGATCCAGACGTCACGGCAGCAAAGTTATCAGAGCGACTAGCTAGGGAAACAATAAAGTAACGCAAGCAGTCACAACCTCACGTCGCTGTCGCTCATGGACCCAAAGAGGACAACCATGAGAAAGTGGTATGTGGCTGCAAATCGACTCGTTCGTGAACGAGCAGCAAGTTTTGCCACGTGGTGCTGGATGTTTTGCACGGTTGCTTTCGGCGACTCGCCCACACGGCTTCGTCGTCGACAAAGCTGCGATGTCCGACCCACCACATCCAGCCTAGCAGTGCACGCAGGCAACCTGCACACACAATCGACCTACAGAATCACTGCGCTCACCCGCAGCATGACGTTCCTGCCTGCGTTTGTTAGTGCAGCTATGACAAAGTGGTGCGTGGTAGCAAATAAACTCGTCAGTGAACAAGACATAAGTTTTGCCATGCGCTGCTCGACAGTTTGGAGGATCAGTCTAGTCGAAGGATGCAGACGCAACCTTTGCCGAGGCGGGTGCCATGGCCGGCCCACCAAATCCGGCAGAGCAAGTCAAGCAGATAACAAGCGCACACACTGGACCCGCAGAATTCCGGACCGATACACGATGCTCACCTGGGGCATAGCTCTAGTGTCTGCGTTTGTAAGTGCTAATACTAATCGAATAAACCCAGTGTTTGTAGTCCACCTCTGCACTTGTGTCTTTGCGTGCCAAGCACTGCGAGCTCTGGCAAAAGGTCGGTGTCCGACGGGTTGGATCAAGAAAGCCCGCGTCGCAGGCAGAACGCGCTTGAAAGCACGGCGGCGGCAGACACAGCCTCTGCATAGGATGCAAGTGTTGTTGGCGGTGTTGGTGGTTTTGAGTCCCGGCACCATACACTGTGTTCATACCGTAGGCTACAACGACACTTCTAAAGCCAACAACATGTGGTGCGTCGCTCGCAAGCTCCGCAATCAATTGATGCGGGCACTGCATGGGAATACGATGCACCCAGCAAAAAGGAGGACGACAGAAAAGAAAGGTGTGGATAATGCAGCTTGCTCAAGCACTTACCCAAGCACGAAACCTCAGACTTCGATCCCAACACCTTGGAAGAAGCAGAAAAATGAAAATGAAGCTAATGTTACACAGTGTGCTTTGTCGACGTCAGAACACAACCCGGCGCACAACCAGTCCGCAGAAGAAGTCATTGACTTGGATTTGCTGGCACAAGCTCGGATCGGATGCGACGTTACCAAAGTGCCCGGTGACGGATGGTGCTTCTTTCACGCCGTAAGTCGGCACTGCAGCAATTGGAAAACGTGGTCGATAACGCAAGCTGCGGAATTATACCTGCAGGCGTTGGAGTGGTTGTGCAATCAGAAATATGGTCCAAAGGCAGAAGAAGTTCAGCTTGCGTGCGTGCCCTTTGATGATCGAGAACTGGAATTGCATAAGCAGTATCTTCTGCGTGCGCACAAATCCAACCTGAGAACAGCAGATCTCACGAATTCGGAGATTGTGCTTTTGAGTAAACTAATTGCAGTGCTACAGAAACCGCGTGCCTTGGACTCCATCCACCATGGGTCTTTCGTCGAACTGTGGGCGCTCGCAGAGACATTTGATTTTGACTGCTTGATTTGGAGTCAGGACGTGGACCAGAACCTGTGGGTGCGAGACCAAGCAATTGTTAGCGACCAAGAAGCCCATGCAAGACTACAAGAACATCCACAAGTGTTAGAACTTCTGCACCGCCAAATCGGCGTCACCGGCCATTACGACATAGTGGACAGATCTGCGTCGCTGCGGCCGCCGTTTCCGGACACCACCTGGACACTGGAGTGGAAACGTGCCGGAGCTGACGCCGTCTTGCAGCGGGCAGCGGACACTCTAGAGACGCCTCTGCCACCCTTGCCGCCGCCGTGCGAGCCGCCGCAAAGTTCGCCGCAAGAGCATCGCTCACGCAGAGGAAGCACGGCGGAGCTCGACGGTGAGATCGACAGGCCTACCACACACGGCGTGTGCCAGGGCTCTGCCCGACCAGCGCGACGTCGCCGGACCGGCGTGCGCATCGCGCAGCACTTGCAGCCAAGTTGCGCGGAACATAGCTCCTGCAAGCACGAGGAGTTTGTGAGCTGTGACGGAGCCATCGAACAGGAAGACAATGTGGCCCCGCATCCAGCGACAGCAGCCGCAGCCACTGACGCACAGCTAATCACAGATACAAGATCCACCATGCAGACGGGGGCAGACGATGTCTGGCCACAGTCCACCGCAGTGGAAGAATCCGAAGGAACGGCCACAGACGTGGACTTGGACAGCGTGCTGTCGTGGGACTCCGAAACTAGTGAAAGGTCCAATGACGCAGACTTAGAAGCGGTCGTCGAACCACATAAAAGCTGGGTGACGATAGAGGACCGCGCAATAGACAGCGCCAAGCGCTTGGCTACGCACTTCCGGTTGCACCCTTTGTTGCCATGTGTGTTGAGTGACAAAGACTTGCAAACATTAGGTTCAAACTCTGGATTAGTGCATCCCGCAGTGCATTGTGCATTCGACGGCTGCCAGTGGGCTTCTGATGCGCAACCATGTCATCCCCACTGGTCAAAAGAAAAGGTGTGGCGCATAGAAGGCACTGCTTGGTCATACTCAGCCAGAGCCTGCTGCGGCAATGCTGCCACGTGCTTGTGGGCGCACCTGAAAGAAAACCATCACACAGTCTTCGAAGAGGCAGCGCATCGCGCAGCCGGAGGCTCGGCCGAGCTCGCAATTCCCAGCCAATACGTGAATGCCTTGTTGCAGAAAGAAGATCAACAAGTGCCACAGGTCGGTTGGAGTGTGGATCGTCGAACCCTGCGACGACTGCAGAAAGAATTGCAGGAGACGTCGTGCGAAGCCTTGATATGTGCATGTTGTGCAGGCATCCATGCCGGAGGTGATGCTGGGGACATTGCCTATTTGTCCGCCGCGGAGTTGTTCGGCTCCCTGTCTCTAGAAAGCTTCACCTGCAACTGGAATTTGGATACATATATGAAGCAGTACGCCACCAGTGCTTGCGTCCGCACATGAATGGTCACGCCTTTTGCCTGCCTCTCTACACAATGGCCAAAAGATTGTGTGTTGCCCAGAAGACTTGCGCTGCACAGCTTGTGATGTAGGTAATGGGCAGCTTTGCGAAACATGTGAGCTTCCTATCTGTCACCAATGCCTGGTGCAGATGTTCGACCAACGTGTTCTTGCAGTTCCACAAGCTCTAGCCAATGACAACTGGTACGGCTACCCCACAGAGTTGTTATACAAACACAAAGTGCGGTGGATAGAAGCAGCCGCCGCTAGCCCACTGTGGACGTCCGTCGTCACTTACTATGTCGAAGCAGACAGAGGGCACCTGGTGGAAGAAACCCTCCACCGCGCGGAGCATCGAACTGCCGTTCGAGGTAATGTTTCTTCGTTTAGCTTACCTTGGGAAGAAGTCTTGGCAGCGTTCGCTCCAGAAGCAAACACTCGCATGCCGTGGACAAAGTTGCCGCACGAGCCCAAAGTCATGCAACAATTCGTCAAGATTACTGTGAAAGGCATGCTTCACAATGAGGCGATAGAGTGGGTGGCCGGCGCACGGATCCGACCCTGGGTGGTCGTTGCATTGTTGCAGCATTTGATCGACTTGCAGCATCCAATGTGTGACAATCACATCTCCCCGGAGAAAGCAAAAGAAGAAGTGAAACAACGTGTCACACAGATATATGGCACGGAAGAGACAATGCCGCTCGGGGAAGCCATTCCCGAAGACGTGCCTGTGGCCGCGCCACTCTCGTCGGCCCAAGCAAGTCCGAAAGCGCGACCCACCCAGTCTTCGCGCTCGCGTCCGGCAGCGCCAAAGCAAAGCCCACCAGCAAGTGCGCGGCACAGTGGCCAAGCTTCAAAGCCCGTTGCAGCGGCGCGTCCCGACGCAAAGCTGTCAAAGGTAGCCGTAGACACTGCAAGTGGCGACCTTGCACGCACCCCAGTCTCCAGCACACCAACCAAGCTCTCAGTTGTGGCCTCCGACAACGCCCAGAGCATCGCTCGGGGCGCGTCGATTGTTGTCGCAGCCGACGACACCCCGTGCATTGCCGTCGTCGAGGTCGAGGGGTCAGAGAAAACGAACAGTCAAACTCGGACGACAACCGTCGAAAAATACGTCCCACCGGTCGTGTCCGTTGCAGCGGTAGGTACTGCAAAAACCTTGTCCGCAAGCATGCACTCGCCAACCAGCCGAGATGCGCCGCCGCAGAAGCATGCGACGCCAGAAACGGCGGCGGCCGCAGCGCTGGATGGCCAAGCTTTCACGGGAGTGCATCGACCAAACGTCCTATCCCAAGACTACGCAACTTCCGACTGGAGGGAGCCAGATCTAGAAAGGTTACAAGAACTTGCACACGCTGCCGATCAAGTCACGGTCGAAACCGGGCATACTTTTTGGGATCAATGGCAAAACGATTTTCTACCATGGGCATTCCCATTCAGCCTTCCAGCACCTGTCAGTGGCCCAGATTTTCCCCACAAAACCAGACCTCGACGCCCAGTACATGCGCCAAACTTACATCCTCTGGCGCACTTGAAGTTGTTGGCCGGCCGTGTTGAGAGCTCTATTCGTAACTCCTGGGACTTCGTACCTGGTTTGCGACGGCTGACGTTCAAATGGCAATCAGTCTGCAATGGCATTCTCTGGCGAAAAAGACCAAGCCAAAGAGACTGCGTTCAAGCAACCCCTACCGCTTCGTGGGTGGAAGCGGCAAAAGGGCTCTATAGCAAGTTGCGCAGTGGTACGTACTTAACCGCTAGTGGTCAATACAAACCCATACACTTTGATACTAGAAAGTTGCCCTACGCCAAAGGCTTGACGTCAGAAGAGCACCACCTTTTGCAAGACGTTCGCAGCATGCAGAGAAATATGCCCGGAACCATAGAATCTCGCCGTCGCATCGGTCGATTTCTCTTTGGAGCCAGAGTAGAGCTGGGAGAACCTCTTTTCATCACAATTTCACCCACCTCACACCACAATGCGCTGTACATCAAATTCTCTCGATACCGACAAGCCGACCCAGGCAGCACGGTCTTCGGAAAGCGGACCTGCCCAGAAATATGGGAATCCGCCAATGCAACCATGTTCGTCCCCCCCTATGATACCAGACGGCAACTGACAGCCAGAGACCCGTGGGCCGTAGTTCTCAGCTTCCAAACCATTGTTCGTTGCATTTTCGCAAAGCTGCTCGGCATTCGCATGTGCTTTCGTTGTCCCGCCTGTGACTGCCGGGATGCCAGCGGGAACGGCTGCCATGTCACCGGGGGGTTGTTCGGCCTCGTGCGCGGCCTCTGTGGCGCCATCGAATATCAAACAAATTCGACTCCGCACTTTCACTGCAACGTCTACAGTGCATCCATTTGGCAGCAACCGCTCCACGAACTCGCGGAGAAATTGAACAACCGAACTATCGAGTTCGACGACGTGAAACACTTTCTCACATGGATACATCCAGAAACTCATCCTGACTACAATTTCCACAATGCACAGCAAGCAGAACTAGAAGCCGCCTGGAACGAGCACAACAGCCACGAAAAGCACGATTTTCTTTGCCATTGGCCAAACTTCATCCAAACAGATGACGCAAAGAGCCCTTGGTTGGATGACATGGCGGCTACCCGAGCAGTGCAAGAAGCCCAAACATTCATCGAGACCTACCGCCGTGTCGCACAAAGCAAAGTGAGCCATCAGCAGATACATTGGCATCCTTATAGCATTGTGCAAAAGTGTCGGTTACCGATCAGTGCTTGCCGCAAGAAAAATGCTCCCAATAAGTGTAAGCATAGCTTCCCGAAGGTGCAGAACGACCGCGGTCGAGTCATATGCCGAGGCAATGGTCGGAAATTTGGATTGAGTACTGCTGGCCGGAGAAATGCTTTAGGTACAATTTTGGATAAGCGAGAAGATCCTTGGTTGTCCGGCACAATGTATGCCTTTACGCTCATGTTGTTTGGCAACTCGCACACTGCGGTGAACTTTCGAGTTCCTCTGACTGCTGCCTCCCATGACGCAGAGTGTGCCCGCGGATGTCTCGCACACAATTTGCTCCGGAAGCTACAACGCGCCATGGCACAAGCAGCTCGCCGTTCCACACGATACTTCACAGGCTACTTGCAAAAGCCCCAACCATTGGGTCGGAAAGAGTTACAGCATGCAGCCAAACAGTTGCATTTCTTAGAAACCGCTGCCGCAGACGACCCAGCCGCGCAGCAGCGGAAAGTCGCACATCGAGTGCTTGGGGACCTTGAATTTCGTTGCTCCACCCGGCCCATGACCGAAGAATTCATGTTGGCCGGTTTCGCCACCTCCACCGAACCAACCTCTGCAGAGTGCATTCGTAGTTTTCCCGTAGTCCCCTTTGTAGGCACAGAATGGCTAAGCATCCTCGATAATTTCACAGAAACCCGTCAAAGAGTAAAGCCTTCCAACCCACACAGTTCGACCATCAAGTTTTCAGAAGTATATGGTTGGAGAGGTACAGATCCAAGAGTGTGGTTTTTATCTCCGTGGGAGTTTGTGAAATGGTGGACAGTGAAAAAATTGCAACCACCCCATGGAGAAAATGCTGAGTCCGACACAGGTTTAAGTGTTTGGGTCAATGGGGCAGGCCAGACCAAGAAACCGGCCGACGGCTGGAAATTCGGACGAGATTTTGTCTGGAAGGATTCGTTGCCTGCTGCCCGGCGTGACACCGTTCTTCGCCTGCCGGAAATACCTCAGTGTCAAGCTGCGCAAGACCACTATCTTGAACGACGCCGCGAACCTTGCGTCCCATACCCCACAGTCTGTCCACTACCGAAGCCCGATATGGCACGAGAGGCCCAAGCTAGGTTGCTTAATGTTTACCTTCGGCCATGGACCTTAGACCTCCCTAATTCTACCCTTCACGTGCCCCACATAGCGGCACTAGACTTACCCTTTGCGGTTAGGAGCGCTCGTCGTCTGACCCGCATCCACACAAAGAGTGCTGCCGGCCAAAGAAGTCACCACGTGGCCTGGACAGAGTACGTCGCCAACCACATTGTTTCGGAGCATGCGGCCAGAACAATTCGCAATTTCATTGCAGCCACCGAATGTGATCCCGAGGAGGCCGACGCAATAGAGCCTCCGTCCAACCGAGACAAGGTGGAAGTGGATACATCTTGGGTCAGCAACGAAACCATTCATCGGCTAATCACAGGAGTCGGTTTTGAGTACTCGAAACGTTCCAGTGCCGCAGTCCATGAAATTATCGAGGAATGGAAAATTGACTCGGAAGACTGCACCGCATCCCTGAAACCCGTCAACACCGGCGTGCCCAACATCAAGCCAGATCACAGCCATAGCATCGCTCACGCACATACCCAGTCACCTCGAGAGCAGTTTTTGACGTGGACATATGGCAACTTGACAGCAGAAGCCGCGGAAGCCTGGCTCACCAACTTGCAAAGTTCCAACGGCAACTGCCCACCCACCGCCGAACAACTCAAGTTTTTGCGTGCTGTCATCCAACGCTGTCTGCAAGAGGCCGCCGAAGAGCACGCGGGCACGGCCGACACCGAGCCCTTGCGAGCCATTTTCCATGGCGTACCGGGGGCCGGCAAAAGCCAAACCCTCAAGTGGCTACGCAGCTTTTTCGAGGACATTTGCCACTGGGAGCATCAGCATCAATTCGTCTTCGTAGCTCCACAGAACACTCAGGCCGCGCTCATCGGCGGTGTCACCCTCCACGCCTTCGCGAACATCCGTGTTCGAGCCAAAAAGGCCTCCCCGGGCAGCGCCCACACCACAGACCAATTCGTCAAGTATCAGCGTTTACGTTGGATCTTAGTTGACGAAACTTCGACCGTCGGTCTCGAAATTCTTGCCACGGTCGAAAAAAAACTTCAACAATCGATCCGAGACCGAGATACTTGGAAGCTTCGTCCCGGCGGAGAAAAACGGCCGTTCGCAGGTCTCAACCTGATCCTGACCGGTGACCTTTGGCAGTTCCCCCCGGTGAAAGCCACCGCCATTTTCCAAAACCCTTTCGCGGAAAATGGAAGCTTTCAAGTTGCAGCCCTACAGAAACTGTTCTGGACACGCGGTACAAAGGCTATGCAACACCTATTCGAACTCACCAAAGAACAACGCTGCGAGGACCCATGGCTCAGTGTCGTCCTGCAACATGCGCGCCACGGAAGCATGACTCAAGAAATTTGGTCTTTTCTCCATGGATTTCCGACTTTGCACGCAGGCTCCTGGGACTTCAAAACCCACACGGTCGAGTGCGGCCAGACAACTTGCGCCGACCTGCACTTGCAAGCTGCAGCCCTTCATAAGCAACCGCTTGAATGCAAGCAGTGTCGAGCCGAACGCCAACGTCGGTGTCTTGTAGGCAAAGATCAGAAAAGCCCAAAGTTTCTCAACAATCCCTTTGTCCATGGACTCAACGCAGCGAAATACATTGCCGCCAACCTTCGCGCTCGCCAAGTGGCAGCCACCCGGAGAGAAAAACTACTCTGGATAGTAGCCCAAGATACACCACTCTTTCACATCGAGCCTCCCGAACTACCAGCCCGGCGGGAGAATTGGTTGCAACGCCACGACCAGTCCACAGGTGGCGTCGTCGGTTTGTTGCCCTTGCTGCAAAACATGCCCGTCAGGATCACGCAAACCTTGCCAGAACTCAAGCCATTTGGACTCTTCAAAAATACTCGAGGCACACTTTGGAATTGGACGCTACATGAGGCGGACGCTGCTGCAGCGTCGCAGAACGACGCAGATAACATCGTCCTTCAAAAAATGCCTCTAGCTCTGTACGTCCACGTCCCCGGGCAAACGTGGCAACAACATGCACAACTGCCACCAGGAGTTGCCCGCTTAGAAGCAGTGACACAAACATGGTCCCTGGAGACCAACGGTAAGGCCACAGTGTCTCGACGAGGTTTCCCACTCGCTTGCGATTTCGCAGGGACGGCACATTCCTTCATGGGGTCAACCCTCGAAGCCTGCACACTTGATCTCGGCCACTGGGACTCCACCGCGTCCCGCGAGGCTCAACTCAGCGGCTACATGTGCTTGTCCCGAGTCAGGAAAGCAGAGGACTTGTGTATAGCCCAACCCTTTTCCCCCAACTTGTTCACCAATGGGGAATTGATAGGCCCACACACTTTTCTAGAAGTTCATCGCGGCAAGCTCACTCCACAAGAAGCAAAGGCTCGATTCAGTCAAGACAAACCAAGCAAGAAAAGAAATCGGGACATCATGTTGTTTTGCCGCGGCTGCAGCCCACAGCCACATCGACAAGAGAAGTTACTGCCTCTGCGAGAATTTGTAACAGCATGGGACCAGGACGAATGGTACCAAGTCTTATCCGAAGGCATGTGTCGCCTATGTCTCCAATGCAAAGCTAAGCAAAGCGGAACACAACCACCCAGTCACTCTGCAGCGACGCATCCTTGTCCATATTGTCCCGAAGCCAGACCAGCCAACAAAACTGGCTATTGTTCGGAGTGTGTCAAAACAGAACGTTTAGCCTGCAGCCGATGTGACCAAGGCAAGAAAATCAAAACGAAACGCTTGACAGACTTCGACCCGGAAGAAGTCAGACGCAAAAAAAAACTAAAGAACTGCGACGCCTTCGCTGCAAAAAGTGTGCTACCACCCCTGTCGCAGCCACCTCCAAACAAGGTTTGTGCACAGAGTGTAATAAGACTGTGAGTGTGTCGCATCTCACGCACTATACTGCTGCGTCGCAAACGGGCCTGTGTCGCGCTTGTGTCGCCAACCAAGCGCGGGCGTCCAAGACCTGCGCAAACTGTGGCCAGCCATTGAAGGCAAGTCAAACTCCAGGTACGTGGTGCAAACCCTGTGCATACCCTCCTTGCACGGGCGGATGTGGAAAACCACGCCCTCAAGTAGGCAAAAGGCGACTCCACGCCAAGAAAAATCCTATTTGGCACTGTCCAGAATGCCAAGGCAAGCAAGGCCGCTGTGTTCGGTGTGAGAAAGTGGTCGCCGTTCCCAACCTTTCTAACTACACCGCCGACAACAACACAGGAACATGCAAAGCGTGTGTCGCTAAGCCTAAACTCTGTGGTAACTGTGCCAAACCCTTGCCTTCCACTGCAACAGCTGGGACATGGTGTGCCGCATGTGCGTATCCCCCTTGTCCAGTGTGTGGTCGTCCACGACCCGATGACAGAAGCTATCACGTCAAAGTTTTACCAACTTGGACTTGCGCCGAGTGCAAAGTGAAACCATGCAGCAAGTGCGGTCAGCCGCTAGAGTCCCAGGCCATAGCAGAGACCTTGTGTAGGCAATGCAGCTATCCGCCGTGTGAATCCTGTGGTCATCCACGGCCTCAAAAAAGTGGGTACCATGTCAAGGTTTTACCTTCTTGGAGCTGCGCAGAGTGCAAAGTGAAGCCTTGCAGCCAGTGCGGTCAGCCGCTAGAGTCCCAGGCCATGGCAGACACCTTGTGTATGCAATGCAGCTATCCGCCGTGTGATGCTTGTGGTCAGCCACGACCACAAAAAAGCGGCTACCATGTTAAAGATTTACCAACTTGGATGTGTAGCGAGTGCCAATCGCTGCGAAACTATCCCCCGTGCGACCAGTGCGGTCGGCCACGGCCACAAAAAAGTGGCTACCGTGTCGACGTTTTGGCTCATTGGATCTGTGCAGAGTGCCGCGATAACACCCAGCGTGGCGTGCCACGGAAGAGGCGTCGCAAAGTGTAGAAGCCTATGCCATGAAAGCAGCATGCGCAAGCTGTGACGTGCAACATACGCAGTCCACATCAGATAGAAATTCCACGTCAAAAGCCTAATGCACAGAACCACCCTGGGCAGCTCCATCTCACCCCCTACCCGAGAGCCAGCGCATCGCGCAGCCGCTGCAGCCAAGTCCGCAA